CATCAGACGGGAAGCGAAAGAACGAGCAAGACCCATTGCTGGTATGATAACAACCTGGTACTAAGCACACAGGCATCTTGTTAAAGTTATCTTATCTTAGCCAGCGCCATATAGATAGATTCTATCTATATGGCGCTGATCTTAGCTATCTATAGTGGAGGAAAACAATTGTGACATCACTTACGCGACTCTGGGATTTGTAGTCTTTCTAGTTGCGTATTTTTCATAGTCTTATATTTCAACAGTTTTACGACAAACTGTGACTTTTTTGACATGGAAATGATTTTTTAAGATTGACAAACATGATATGTGTAATTCATGGCACAATTCAAACGGGATCGAAAGATAAGTTATAACGAGCAGGAACACTACACTGATAAAAACAATGTTTTGGTCCAGGAACACTATCAGGCAGGGACGAAATACACCAAAAATCAAGACCGGACAGGGACAAAGACGACAAATCAACAAAGATCACAAGGAGAGATAGGACTATAAAGACACCAGACTAAATAGAAAGACAACACACAGCTGGAGAAGGCAGGAATAAACTCAAAGGCAGAAGGTGAAAACCATCATACAATCACACAGGCGGAAAAACAAAAAGACAGGAAGTAAACCCTGAGAAAAACACCAAGGGAAACACATTTCAAAATAAAACAGGAAACATTAAACACAAACACTAAGATCATGACGGTGCAGACAGCAAAAGGATTTGAAAAAGGATATAAACAGTGAGTTTTTAGGGTGGGCTAAACATTATACAACCCCTTATGCGGTACATTACAGTATTTGTATCCTCTGCAGAGATCAGAACATACCTAAATCGGACTCTTTTTCCTTCATATACTACTTTAAATGCTGACAGTTTTGTTTGAATATACTGTAGTTAAAGTTATATTCAAACTTTGTTTTTAACATGCTCAGGATTTAACCTTGGTTTAACCCTTTAACCCAGAGAATCTAAACTAATGAAGTTCATCCAATACAAATAAATAAAATAAGAATAATGGAAAAAGAAAATCGCAAAATAAAATTGTTATTACTGCTAATAATATAATAATAATAATTATAATATTATTTCTGTTTTCACTCTTAGCAGCTGTTTGTTTTGACAAAAACACACATTTTACCTTTCATCCTATACAGTTCCTTTCTTTTTGTAGATGTTTCAGATTACCACTGCTTACACTTCAGACATAACCCCAATACAACAGAAGGGAATGGTATTTGGTTTGTCTCTCCCAAAAGGAATATACATTTGACAAACTTGTCAAATGTTAAATGACAAAACTTCCCACAATGTGTCTTTCATTCCGAAAAATCCTTAGACCGCCACTGTGAAGAGTTTTTTATTGAAATGTTTGGCAATCAGGTTTAAATAATAATAATAATACATTTTATTTGTAAAGCACCTTTCATTGCTAAAAGCAATCCCAAGGTGCTACAGGAGGCATAATAAAAACAAACAAAAAAAAACACAAGTTTAATCAAAGGCTTTTTTTAAAGAAAGGTTTTTAGGCCTTTCTTGAAGGCGTCAGTGGTCTGTGGAGTCCTCAGGTGGTCTGGGAGGGAATTCCACAGGTGAGGAGCAGCTGCACAGAAAGCCCGATCCCCCATTGTGCGGAGTTTAAATAGAAAGTACAGTAGATTGCAGAAAACCGTTTATAATTTAAGTAACATGCTACTGTATTAGATCAAGGTAAAAACTGAACAACTGACTGAAATACAAAGATTGTCCTGAGGGTGGCACAAGAGATTAAGCCATAGTTTCATTTAAATTAAAAGGGTTTGTAACCCTGTGATCATGTATGCTGTCACTAACTTCCAGAGATATCAGCTCATAGACTTTGAAATATATTGTGTGCCAACATTTAACCTGAGGGTGGCAGAATAAGAAAACCAATGGAGTGTCTAATGGAAAGCATAAAAGTACTCAACCATTACAATGTCTTGTGTACAAGGGGATATGGTGGCTCTGAAATAGGGAAAAATGACAATAATATATTAATATAGGTTACACATTATAGGGTTTACCGTTGATGCATTTCCCAATGAGGTTTCTGATTAATAATCATCAGTAATGTGGATATAATGATTAAATTGGTAAAGGCAAATAATGGAACAGCTATAAGTCTGGTAGAAAAATTACATGTATCACTTAAATGTAATGCAGACATAGAGAAGTTAGATTTGGATATTACGATTAACAAAACGTAGGTCTCATATCACAATAAAGATATAATATTCATATATTGCAGAGCCCTGTGTAAAACATCTTTAGGTGCGCTGACAAAACATGAATATCTAAAGCAAACTTCAGGCTAATAGCCGCGTTCACACCGGAGTACTTTCACCGTACTTTTCGCGTTTTAGTTCCGTGAGTACCCTTTATGTCGCGTTCACACCAAAAATCGTACTTAATCTCGGGTACTTTTACCCCCATTTTTAGAGCCAGCTCAGAGAGCGTACTTTTCTGTGGGTGAAAAGTGCTCCAAAAGTTCCCCAGTGCTGATTGGCTGGGCGAATTGCAAACCACGCCCGTACAACTCTGAAAATGTTGTGTGGAGACGCCATTGTTTTTCCTCGCTACAAAAACACAACGCTCCGTGCGTTGTGTTTGTTTTTGAAAGCAGTTATGGCAAGCATCAAGAAATGATGAGGAGGTGTCGGCGCTTCTGGAGATCTACGCCGAGGAGGCGACCCAGGGAATGCTACTGAAGCCAGTTCGGTAGCTTTCACTCGACCTGGGAATTGTGCACAGCCGGCTAAATATAAAGAAACTCAGGACTACAAACGGCGGATTCAGTGGCCAACGATGACTACCACGATGAAGGTAAAATCAACTACATGCACTGGGGTTTTAATCTGCACAATAATGGTCTCAGATGTACTTTTATTTGCTCAGTAGATCAAGCTAGCCATGCTAGCCATAATAGGCTAACACCGGCCCCGGCTAGCTACATCTAGCTAGCTAGATATTCTCCGCTGTATGAAAACGTTTTGACTTGTGAATAACTGTGCAGTGTTTCTGTAATTTGCTTCACTAACTCATGGCACTAATCGTCTGTTTCAGGCGAGGATGGACAACTCTCGGGATTGGAAACAAGTGAGCTTTGCATTCTAGATCACAGCGCTTTGTCGTCCTCCTTACCAGCAACCAAACGCAAAGGTACACACACTGTAATTTTGTCTTGAAAGAACGTTACGCATCGAACTGATGTTCACAATCATGTTTATTTCATAATATTCATCATATTTTATGTTTAACTTGCCTCAACAACATTAAACAAAGTTCAAGCATACATGAAGCACTCTTCAAAAAGGAACAATCCTCCGTGTTTGAACCTCTTAAATCGCTGCATAGCCGATTTATTTGGACTGGATTATCCCAGAGAGGCCAAACATTCTTTATAACACAGTTTCAGATTTGTGAAACCTTAATTCTATTTGTGAAAATAAAAAAAAGGGAGATTTCAGTGCTTTTTTTACATGTAGACCACATTAGACCAGGTCCTGATCTAAAACCACTATACCTACACTCATCAAATCTGGACTGGATTATCCCAGAGAGTCAAAAGATTCTTTATAACACAGTTTCAGATTTGTGAAACCTTAATTCTATTTGTGAAAATACAAAAAACACATTCCTAGTATGTTGTAAAACTACATGGCGACTAAACTTGTATATTGTATATTGCTTATTTTCCCCTCTTAGGAAAGCGGACACGGGATGCGAATTTCTTTGACACCGCCCAGGCGTTGGAGGACCGGCGTGCCGTGGTGAATGAGTCGCTGCGTGGAGATCAGATGGTGCTGTTCACCAAGGCCCAGGAAACGGAGGACAAGATGCTCACCTCGATGGAGCGCCAGGCAGCAGATGGAGCGCCAGCAGCACCAGGATGAAGTGTGGGCGCTGCGCCATGAGGAAGCGTCGGCGCAGCGGCAGGATGAGCGACAAACTGCATTTAATAACAGTTTATTTGGTATAGTTTTTGTAAATACTGACACACGACACACAACGTTGCACTAAGGTGTGCATGCTGCTGGGAATATCCCTACACCTGGGACAGTTTATTTTATATTGTTATTACTGTTATGACTTTATTTTATATATAATGTTTACTGACATGTACAACTGACACTTTATTTACATTTAAAATTGTTCTATTTAATGTTATGTCTTGAGAGTGCAATAAAGAAAACCGACATGGCGATTAAGCTTATTTCTCCTGACACTTTATCTTTTGTGACCTGTGTAGCATCCTATACATCACATGTAAGTGATTATTCTGATACCATCATGTTTCATCGGTTATAAACTGGCAAAGCTTTATTTGTCATTTATTTATCATCAATGTTGCAACCTTGTGGGGGAATGGCAGGGGCACATACACAAATATGACAATTTATATAATTTTAAATATTATTTGACCTAAACTTTTAATTCCCCCCATTTCACACAACACAACATGGAGTCCACTATGGGCCAAAACTAACATGTATGTTTGCATAGTGTTTATGGCAGACGGATGCAGTGGGTCTCAGGAAGATATATAATAAAGGTGGGTTTGCTGCTGAGACTCCCTACAGCTGGGAGTTTATTTTATATTGTTATTACTGTTATTATATAGTACAACTGACACTTTATTTTATATTGACAATGTTTACTGACATGTACAACTGACACTTTAGTTACATTTAAAATATTTCTATTTAATGTTATGTCTTGAGAGTGCAATAAAGAAAACCGACATGGCGATTAAACAGATCCTGTATCAGTTTTTCTTCTTCTCTTGTTTTGTAGCGGGTTGCAAACAACTTTAAGGTGCTTACCGCCACCTACTGTACTTGTAATCTTCCCTCAGGGAAAAGTACTCCGGTGTGAACGCGATCTGTACTAAGTACCCTGGGGTTAAAAGCGCCAGGGCTCTTAGTGCCGGAACTAAGTACAGGAAAGTACTTGGTGTGAACGCGGCTAATGAGACCAGTAGTTGTATGACAAAGCAAACTTTTAACCACCCGTCTCTGCTGCTAGCAGAGAAACATGGAGCAAGAGTAACAGAAGTATTCAGTCTACAGTTTGGTAGATATGGTTTGTGCAAACTTCTTTGTTTCACTTTGGCTCTTCAGCGTGGTCTTATTTCTGTTGGGAAAAGGGAATAAACAGAAGAGTATATTAGTTACATGTTCCCTTTTTCTGGAACAAAATTAATCCTGTATGACAAATACGAATATCAATTAATTACAAATATTAGAGGGTATGTTGTTCGTGTCTTCATATTGCCTGACATGCAGTACTTTGGAGATGCGTGAAAATAGCTAATATTGGTCAACATAAAAAAAAAATATATGATCTCATTTGGAGATGCTAATGAAATGCTGTTATTCATTCTGAACAAAAATAAAGCCAGATGTATTAATTGTGCAGGGTGTAACAAGGAGACACTGTCGGATGCTTACGTGTTGCCCTCAGCCTCATCGGTTGAATCAGGAAGCTCTTTCCTCCTGGTCTCAGGAAGAAGGAAGCCCAGGGCTCCACTGACCAGTGTCAGGCTGCTGAAGACTACGGTGGGTATGGACCAGTGGTACACAGCCAACATGTTGAGCAGTGGAGCCAGCAGGCCACCAACCCTGCTGGCAATGGAGCCCAAACCAGAGGCTGTTTGTCTGAAACACAGTTTTAATAGAATTTCACAGCCTTAGAACTATTTTTCAAGACAGTTTGAGCCGTTGAACTAACTGTAATGCTCTTAGTTGCCAGAGAGTTGACAAAATGGTCTAGAACACAGGTTTTCTAAAGATGTGTCTAAAAATGCAACTTTTGTGTTAAATGTTCGGAATTTTTTGAATATTTACTTTTGTCACAACAGGGCAAAAGATTTGTTCATTGTCTGCCTCATGTTCCCTTCTCCCATTGGAGTCAATGAACTCAGACCTACCACTGTTCTCTTAAAGACGCTAGGCAGGGGGGAAACCCATAAGAAAATGTACTCCGTTTGCTAAACCGTCTTTGGTGTTATTCTTGTGAACACTGGCGAATATACCAATTACTACAGTGAGATGGGAGGCTTACCGAAAAGATGTTGGGAACAGCTCCTGAACATACACATTGCATATGGATCCTGCCCAGTTAATGAAAAAACGTCCTGAAGTTGCTAACGTGGTCATAGCAACAGCATTATCTTTGAAGATAAAAACACAGTGTCAGATAATTAAACAACTACAATGTTACGAGATGGGTGTTTGATTTTAGAATGAGGCTTCCAATGTTATCGAGAAATCTGGAAAAAGTTATGGTAACACTAACATCCCTTAAATACACCATGAATATCTGAACGTAACCCTTAAATGAGCATTCACACATAAATATGTTGGGAAATTAATTGGTGGTATTTTTACATTACACCCATATAACACTTTTTGCACCCATATTACACATTAGAACAACCCTATTACACCACTGTTACACCATTATTACACCCATGTCACACCTATCAGACCCGTATTTGACATTAATATTACACACATATTGTTATTAAATCCATGTTACAGCAATATCACATCATAATTACATCGGTATTACACCAATGTTACCCCATATTACACCCATGTAACACAAATACTGTATTACACGGTTATTACACCAATATTATAGATTAAAACACTCTTAATACACCTGTATTAAACCTATATTATACCCATGCTACACCCATGTAACACTGTTAGTACACCAATATTACAACCATATTACACTGTACTGACACTGTTACAACCTCAATTTTACACATGGACACAGCCTTTCAAATGACTTTATCCCAAAAGGATACAGAAACCATTTAGAGGTAATGTTATGGTGCAGTCACTAACTAACCACCATTGCTATCCTTTGCTACTGGCCGCTAGTTAAACTAAACATCATAGAGACAACACCCAAAGTGCTTTACCTTGAGGAACAGCTAGGATTAAGAAGCATAAGAATCCCCCGATCAGAAGAGTTGACATCAGTGACACTTTTCTCCCCAGTGCTTCTAACAGCCATATGCAAAGGATATGAGCTGGGAGTTCAGTCAGACCAAATATAAGCTGCGTCAGGAAGATGTCCAAGCCAAGATTTCCAACATTGAATGAAAGGGAGTAGTATGTAACATTCAAGGAGAACCTGATGATTAAAAAAAAAAAAGTATTTAGCATGTTGAAAAATAAGTTGTTAAATCAGTAGAAATGTCTTTCTGTTATAGTAATTACTTAATAAATAAACACCATGCGTTTTTTTTATTACCAGTATGACGGTAATATTGCATTTACGTTAAGTCTTGATACAATGGTAAAAAAATAAAAACTTTTTTTTCTTATTAAGGGACCTTTTCCAGAAGAGACTCTGGAACAGTGCATTTGTTAATGGCTGCCACTTTGGTAATCAGCTGTTTAGCCTCCTCTGTCCTGCCTCTGTCCAACAACCACCTGGCTGACTCTGGTATAAACCTGTCAGAAACAAGAAAATAGGCATTCTTTAATAATCTGTCATTTCAGGGAAACGTCTGATTGTAATATAAAAAGAGTCAATACACACACACACCATATGTAAATAGCAACAACTGCCAGTGGAGCTGCTGTAATTAGCTGAGCCAGTCTCCAGTCTCTGATGAAGTAGATCATACCAGCCAGGAGGCACTGTCCAACTGCTCCAAATAGCTGAGTAATACATGCTCCCCAGGATCTTTTGGACACCCCGATCCACTCAGTGGCTAGAAACGGGAAATACATTAGAGTAAACCTTGAATTTATTACGCCAACATCCATATACGTATGTGCCAAGAACAATAGAGACCTTAAAAGGACAAAATATACAAAAAAGTTAAAAGACAGGTTTGATAGTGAACACGTGAATAAAATAGCCCAGGAATGGCAATATTATATATGTGAAGAACTCATCTAAACGTGAAAAATATTTAATTAAATTGAGGTAATAGCTAATAAAGCGAATAAAAGCTAATAAATCAAGCCTTAATGTATACTGCATGTACAGTAGGAGCCAATTAGCGCTACGGATATAAGTAGGAACCAATGTTGGCTTTTGCTGGAAGGCTAAACTGTTTTTGACCACACACACACACACACACACACACACACACACACACACACACACACACACACACACACACACACACACACACACACACACATACACATACCTACGCTGATGTAAAGTTATTGTGCTGTAAGTTTCATTTTTGTACAGTGATGGAATAAAAATAATTTTATGAAGAGAAAGGTCTTTGTGAGTAGCTAGTTAACTGTTAGCATCAGCTAGTTTGTTACCTAAATGTTTTAGCTACTGTTACAAGTGTTTACACAGAGATTCTACAGCAGTATGTAGTACATTATATGATTAACATTAACTGTACTGACTGTTGTGATTTTATGATGAACATTAGCTTTTGTCCAGTGTGTTTGGCTACGAGTGTTAGCAGTTTAGCTAGCTAGCCAGACATCTCCCACTGTGTTCAGGAAAATAAATTGCTATTTGGAAAAAGATAAATAAATGAATGTGTGCCGAGAAATTAAAGGGAAAATTGAAGAGTTAAAAAAAAAAGAAAAAATTATCTTTTACTGTAGCCAATGGGATGAAAGCAACAGCTTGTGGTTGGCGTGGGTAAGGGACTCCCTATCCTTTCTCTTGGTTTTCTTTCTCTTTCCTTTTGTATTATTGTTTACATAATTTGTATCTGTATATATATATGTCCCTCTGTGAGGGTAGAAAACAATACAAAGTTGGTCACAAAAAAAAAAACAGAGGTTACATGGCTTGACAAAGATAACCCAAAAGAATAATCTTTTAAAATGTAATATTATGTGGTATACTTTACCCAATATGACGCCATTCAGTCGATAACCGCCATAGCCAAGTCCCAATATGAACTGGGATGCCATATACAAAAAGAAGTTTGGACATAATCCAGTCGTGACAGTAAATATGAGCATCACAACGACTGGGATCTGAGCGGCTCGTTTACGACCAAACCTGGAAGAGATACCTCTCTGGTCAGCATATGTCATATAACCATGTCATTCTTTATATGATAGGGTTCATCGAAAAAGACCATACAGTACAGCACAAAACAATTAAGTATTCAGACATAGATATTTACTAAGAATATGTTATGGTCTATTTAAACATAAGGCATTACATTAGATAGTGATAAGCTTAATATATACAAAAACATCATTTATAGGGTACTTTCTATTGGGAAGCTGTCCCCAACCCTGACATCTAAATTTCAATTTCTGTAAATAACACTTAAATAAACATTCTTAAATGTTGTTCAATGGTGTATTTAGAAGATCTTTATGATTACATTCAAACAGAAGTCGGAATATTTAGATTTATTGTGGGTATCATTTTTTAATAAAAAAACTATATTCAAAAAATCATGTCCCCAGTTTTCATGTCACTACCGAAACACAAGGGGTTTTAGTCCAATGGCTGAGCCTGGTTTTTAGCCACACCCCTGCACTTTTGACTAGGCAGTGATGCTGCATCCCTGTCCCTCTTGGCTGAATGGCAAGTAGCTATATCCCATACTTTTGATATAAATCGGTTCCAAAATCTGAAAATCGGCGTGTAACCTTAAGAATTGTCACTACCGAACACATATTATCTTCAATTATGTAAACTTTTTCGGGGTTTTATGCAAAGTATTAGGTTTTTATGTGTGTAAACCTCTTCAAAAACGTGTATGTTAGCCATGTACTTGCTAGCATTCTTTAGTTATGCTCAATTTAAGCTAGAATCGTCACTACCGAAACAGTCACTACCGAAACAGTGACTACCGAAACATATGGTTAAGTTTCGATAATTGACATGATCGTTTCGGTAGTGACAAAATGGAATGGTAAGCAGGTAAATCCCACCATTTTGAAATAAATGTGTTTTAAAGTCTGAAAATCAGTGTGTTACTTTAAAGGTCTCTTATTATACTATTGTTAGGCATATAGTATAGGTCTCAGATATATAAAAAACATGTCTATGAAGTGTTTTGCTCAAAATACCAAACAGATCACCAATTCTAGCCTCATTCCCCTCTATTTCAGCCTGTTACTAAAGTGCTGATTCTGGGTCAGTAGCTTCAAACATTCACACTTCAACATAAGGCATGTTATGAGTTAAGATAAGCAATAAGGTTGAGGGAATATGAAACAACCTTGAGAACAAAATACTGTGGTCACTACCGATGTTTTGTAAAAAATTAAGTATATTGAGTTATCAAATAAAATGATATGATACTGATTGGTTTAATGTATGTTCAATTTCAACAATCATCAACTCTGGAATCAATATGATCAGTATTATGCATTTTACTAACAAAGTTTGCATTATGATTTTTATGAATTGTATAAATTGAACTTTGAAATTTGATTAAAAATTCACTTATATTAATGTAATTGTGAAAACCCTCAAGAAATATTTGTTAAAATACTATTTAATCTTAACAGGTTAATATAATACTTTTTTACTACAGTGTATGTACTATGTTTCGGTAGTGACCATTTTTGGTAGAGGAAGAACATTCCAATACAGTCTGAAAATACGATATCAAAATGTACGGTTCTTTTACTAGATATGTGTAATTTAGATATGGTACAAAATATATATGAACAAAGTTTTGGGAAAAAAACATAGAAAATTTCAAAACATTTCCAACCTGACTTTGGTCCAATTCGGTAGAATGGCCCATATATGTTACACAAAATGAGAGGCATTTTGTATATATATATATTTTTAGATTACAAACGTTCCATGTCTTAGCCTTAGACCTTTGAAAGAAAGGTCAAGACATATTAAAGGTAGGGTTACCTTTGAGAGGGGTTTGAGAAACCAGCTCGAGATACAAGTTGTATGAGAGATTGTCCCTCATGTGGATCCGGTTATATCATGAGCTACGACCAGCACACGGTATGCGAATCCTGCCTGGGGTCAGAGCACGCGTACGCGGCTCTCAGCCAGTAGGTCGCATGCACACACTGTGCCCGTCTCCCCTCGGACGACAGGAAGCGTAGAGCGGACGCTCTCGCTGCTGCGGCCGAGGAGGACGATTGGCCCGTCCAGGTTTTCGAGCCCGTGGACGGAAGCCTCATGTCCCTGGAGCCGAGTGCCGGGCAGGAGTCGGACGACTCCTACCCCGCCTCCCTCCACGGTTCACCATATGGTTCTCCCCTCCCTCCTCTCCCCCGGACGGGGGAGACAGAGTCGGAACAGGGTGCCGACTTGGCGGCCGAGCACGCGGTCCCCTTCTCCGTCACCACGGCGCTGCCGGCGATAGGTGGCATCTTGGGGGAACTGCCGGGGATCATATGCAAGGCGGCCGCCTGCAGAGGTCTCCCCGTTCCCCTAGCTCAGGAGAGGTGTGCTCCGGACGATATGGCCGGAGTTTTTTCGCGGGTGCAGACGGTCAGGAGTGATCCGATCTGGCTACGCTTCCCCGCCATCAGGAGGTACCAGGAGGGGGCGGCGGCGAACCCGAGGACCCTGAAGGCTCCGGTGGCCACATTTGTTCCCCTCACGAAGGTGGAGGGGTTCACAGATGCTGGATTCCCAGCCACCCCTTCGCTGGAGCCGAGCCTGACGGCGTTTTTTGGGGTGAGGCAGGCCAACATGATCGCCGGACGGCGCCCTACGTTGGCCTCCCCCAGGGACCAGTATGTCGCCCGCCAGGCCGACCGGGTGCACCAGTGTGCCTTTCAGCCGTCGGCGGCGGCAAACAACATCGCGCTGCTCTCCAACTCGGTGGTGACGCTGGTGGAGCGGTCCACCACCTTGGCCGAGGCGGCGCGAGGCGGCGCGAGGCGGCGCGAGGCGGCGCGAGGCGGCGCAGTTTCTCTCCACGGGCTGCGGAAGCGAAATGCTTGATGGGAAACGACTCGCTGGTATCTCGAGCTGAGCGCTCATTGGTGGTTTTTACCCCGTGCTGGTGATGAAACTCTCCATTGGCTCGGCAAAAGTGTGTTGTTGTTTTGTGTCAGTTTTACGTCGCCACTTCCATTCACATTTTTCATCATTGTTCCACAATGTTTATCATCATTAAATTAATATCTATATATTTTATACTATACTTGCACTGCTTACCGTTGTCATACTTTATATATCTTAGCATATTCATACAACACACTGTTCATACTAGGCTAGGCTACTGTGTATATCTAGTGTATTCATACCCCTCACTGTTTTTTCATCATTCAATTCATTCTATATTTTATTCTGTAGATTGTGTACATTACTTTTCACTTTACTGCTTTTTGCACTCCTGGTTAGAAGCTAAACTGCATTTCGTTGTCTCAGTACCTGTAGTCTGTGCAATAACAATAAAGTTGAATCTAATCTTGAGCAGGAACAAATGTATTTACTTAGTACATATCTGACATTAACGATTAAACACATTTGTGCATTCTTTATAAATGCAAACCGAGTCAAGCCGACTCCGGAGGTGGCGGTATGCACCTTAAAGTTGTTTGCAATCCGCCAAAAAACCGAGAGAAGAAGAAGAAGAGGAAGAAGCCGACTCCGATCTGTCCGACTTCAGGCGAGCTTTTTGAGACCTCCCCCGGCTGCGATCGGCTATTCTCGTCTACTTTCGAGGCGAGCCGCAGCTCGTCTCAAACAAGCCTATTCACAGCAACCGCAGCCGCGGCGTCAGCGCCCGTCGGCGGCGGCAGGGGCTCCGCCCCGCGTCTCCGCTCCCCCGCCACCCCAGAGACGAAGGGGTCTCTCGGCGGTGAGTCAATGGGGAGTGAGGCACTCCCGCTCTGTGTCTGCTGCACGAGAGCCTCCAAGGAAGCAGAGCCGCTTTTGACGTGTTGGGGGGGATTGTGAGAGAAATAAAATGGGTTCATTTTCCAACTTTTTGTCTGAGTCATCAGTATCAAGTGTTTCTCACATATCCCCCACTCTATGTAAACCAGCTGTCTATAACCTATCGGTTAGTAGCCAGCAGGGTTCGTTGCAAAAGCCTGCACTTTTTAATCTATCGGTTAATAAACTGCAGAGTTCGCTAACTAAGCCAGCTGCCAACAATCTGTTGATTAGTAGACAGCAGGGCTCGCTGCAGAAGCCTGCTGGTTTTAACCTATCGGTTAATAAACCGCAGAGCTCGCGGCATTCCTCTGTCCGAGATACGTCTCCTACACACGGTCATAATAAACCCATGAGCGCCGTTATAACGCCTCATGTGGACAACACTGCATACATCTCCATTCATCCCCTGAGCGTGTACACGCCTCATGATGAGAGCCAGAGTGAAACGCAGCGTGTGGAGGCTCCCTCACAGCCCTTTCGCTCCAGGCCCACCTTGGGTTGCCTCACGGGCAGCGGGGCGAGGGCTCTGATGTGGCTCGTCGCCATGACGACCACAACACATCTCGAGCATGTGCGCCCGCTCTCAGAGTGTTTCTCAGAGTGTTTCTCAGAGTGGCAGCGCGTGTGTCTGATGGACAGATGGATGAGCAGGCTGATCAGCAGAGGGTACACCCTGCAGTTCGCCTCTCCCCCCCCCCACAGTTCAATGGGATACAGGAAACACTCCTGTCATCCCAGGAACAGTGTCTTGCGCTCCAGGCAGAGCTGCGGGAACTCCTGTTGAAAGAGGCTATTTCCAGGGTTCCTCAAGGGGAAGAAAATCAGGGGTATTACTCCCGCTATTTTCTTGTCCCGAAAAAGACAGGGGGAATGGACCCATCCTCGATCTGTCAGTTTTCAACAAGGTAATAATGAAAAGGCCTTTTCACATGCTGACGATCAGACAGGTGCTGGAGTGTGTTCACCAGGGAGACTGGTTCACATCTATAGACCTGAAGGATGCATACTTCCACGTACCCATCATCCCAAAACACAGGAAATACCTGCGTTTCTCATTCCAGGGAATATTGTACCAGTACAACCCAGTGGCGTAGGCAGAAATCAAAGAGTGGGTGGGCCCAAAAAAAATCAGGTAGGCCCAGCCCGTTCAAGACCAAACATACTTAATATGTCCTAAAATGCATTTTAACTGAAATAAGCCACCATTAAGCCAACTATACTTGGCTGATTGCAGAAAA